GGGGTGATGAGGGCTAGAGCTAGAGAGGCAATCCTGGGTGAGGAGATAAGGGGATGGGTGCAAGAAAAGCTGTGGAAGTGAAATCAATAAATAGACGGCTTTAGTTGAGTGGTGGGAACTGGGTGGGAGGTGAGGAAGTAAAAGCAACAGTATGACCTTGGCCAAGAAAGGGACAAGATGAACAGATTGATCACCTGAGGACAGGCTGGATCAACTGAAGATTTCCTAAGGATGAAATACTGGAGAGACCGGAACATATTTGTAGGCAACAAGGAAGGAACCAGGAGACTAGGAAGGTTTCTCTGTTTCCTACAACATTATATGCCTCTGATAATACTGAGACACTAATATTAACATAGCACTCCTGGAGGTTCAAATAGACCTTTGTGGCCCAAAGTAAGATGAGAATAACAGGTGGAGGGGAAATGGTGATAGTCTTGGATCCTTCTTGGCTGAAAGACACCATCATATGGTTCTTCAGGCAAACGCTAAAGCTCTATTTGTTTCCAGACCTTTGGACCATGTCTGGATTCTAAGCTGAACATTTGAGTTCATTGGACACCTCTGGATGCAGAGACATAGCCCGAACCTTAGGACAAAGGGATCGTAGGATCATGGACCTAGCTAGATCTGTACCTCAGAGGTCACAGAGTCCAACCTGATCATTTTACAGATGAGAAAATCGAGACCCAGAGATGTGAAGTGACTTGCCCAAGGTCATGCAATCAATCCATGGCAGAGCTAGAATTTGAATCCAAGTCTTCTGAATTCAGATGCTGTGTGTATTCCATGGTACCATACTGCTTCTGCAACAGAAGCAAATAGAAGATGTGAAGTTAACTTGGGGAAATTCCCTAGAGTCAGAGGGATATGAATAAGCAAAGACTGGAGGCATTTTTCCCCTCATAGGATCATGGATTTAGAGCTCTATGGCTCGTAGTAGCTGGGTAGTCCTCCTCCAAACTCTTCCATTTTGGCTGCAGGGACCTTGACCAGTCACCCAGCTTCAAGTTCTGTGAGTCATTTTTAACTCTCCTCTGTCTCTCACACCCCTACGCCAGTATTCATTTAGTCAGTTGCCAGGTATAACTAATTTATTTCACAACATTTCTTGCACTCATCCCCTTGTCTCCTCACCCAGGATCACCTCTCCAGCTCTAGTCCTCATCACCTCCACCTGGACTACTGTGGTAACCTCCTAACTGTCCTCCCTACTTTCAAACTTTCCTCTTTCCAATTCATCCCCCATATGGCTTCCCAAATACTCTACCTTGGTCATCCAGGCCACAGCTAAGATAAGCTTGACCTTGTCACTACTCTGATCAGAAACCCTCAGTGGCTCCTTCTTGCCCTCAGATAAGGAAACTGAGGCCTGGATTAAATGACTTACCCAAGGTCACATGGTCAATGAATGGCAGGACTAGGATTCAAACCCAGGCTGCTTGACCCCAGACCCTGAATTCTACGCCCCTGCCCCCTCATGGTCTCTTCCTTTTGTGAAATCTCTTTGCTCATTATCAGAGGCAGTTGACTGAAGGTCTCAGAGTCAGGAAGACCTGGGTTCAAATCCATCTCCCAGAAATTATTGTTGGGTGACCATGAACATCTCTGAATCTTCATTTCTAAAATGAGGGTGATCGTGTCTATTTCATGGAGTTGTTCAGAGGATCCAACATGAAGCACTTTGTTAACCTTAATGTCTTTTCAATGTAGTTATTATGATTATTCTATATCAGAAATCCTACTGATGAGCTGTTTATTAGGGGGCTGGGTTTTGGGGGTGCAAAGCTTCCCTGATTAGTTCTGTAACTTTCAGTCTTAGAAAGTTGCCTGGAGCACAGAGATAAGAGATAACTTACCCAGGATCACACAGCCAGTGCGTGTCAGAGACAAGACTTGAACCCAGGTCTTCTTGTCTCCTGGGTTGGCCCTTTACCCTCTACTCCACACTATATATGCCATTGCCCTCTGTGGCAGATTTCGCAAGGCAAAGTTCAGGTCAACTTATACCGGAAGCCCCATGCCTCCTCCATAGGCCAGGGGTATAGGCTGTTGGGCAGTTGGCAGGCTAACGGAGGGTCATGGGGTTATAGATGTAGAGCTGGAGGGACCTCAGGCATTCTCTACTCCAACCCCTCATTTTACAGGTAAGGAAACTGAAGCTCCCCAAGACTAAGTTACTCACCTGAGGTGCAAAAGCAATGGGAAGGAATCCTACCCAATCATGATGTACAAATACCCTCAGACCATCCTTACAAACTCATCCCACTCAAGGAAAAATGAGAGCTCTAAAATCTGTAGACATTCCACAGCAAGTTAGATCTCAGCTTGTAACCCCGCATGTGTGGAAGGAAGGAAGGAAGGAAGGAAGGAAGGAAGGAAGGAAGGAAGGAAGGAAGGAAGGAAGGAAGGAAGGAAGGAAGGAAAGGAAGGAAGGAAGGAAGGAAGGAAAGGAAGGAAAGAAGAGGAGGAAGGAGGGAGGGAGAAAAAAGATGGAAGGAGAGAGAAAAGCGGGGGAAGGAGGGAGAAAAAAGAAGGAAGGGAGGAAGGAAGAAAGGAAGGAGGGGAGAGTGAGGGAGAAGAAAGGAAGGAAGGAAGGAAAGGAAGGAGGAAGGAAGGAGGGAGGGAAGGAAGGGGAGAGAGGGAGGAAAAAAGGAAGAAAGTGAGGAAGGAAAGGAAGGAAAGAAAGAAAGAAGGGAGGGAGGAAGGAAAGAAATAAGCATTTTATTAAGTATCTACCCTGTATTAAGTACTATGCAAAGTATGAACAAATATAGTCTCATTTGCTCTTTATAACAGCCGTAAAAGGTAGGCGTTATTATTATTATTCTTGTTTTACAGATGAAGAAATTAAGGCAGAGAGAGGTTAAGTGACTTGCCCAGGATCACACAGCTAGTAATTGTCTGAGGTTGGATTTGAACTCCTATATTCTACTACAAGTCTGGCACTTGGTGCACTATGGCGCCTCCTAGCTGCCACTCTGCATAATCACTTCAGAATTGTCAGATGAATGGATGAAATCAATACATTCATTATTAAAAGTATTGAGCCCAAGTTCAGTTGATTTTTTTTAAAGCACAGGGGAAGCTAGAGGTGCTTCTAGAGCACACATTTAGAGCTGGAAGGAATCTTGGAGGACGCTGAGTCCAACACTTTCACTTTACATGTGATTTAAACCCAAATCCTCTGACTTCTGCCCCACTGCTCTTTTCAGTAGCCCAGTGAAAGTGCTTTGTAAGTATCACAAAGCTGTCACAGTGTGAAGTGATATGGCAGTGATCATGGATTTGGGTTTGGCTTTGTTGTGAACACATCTGTGTTCCTTTCACGAATCGGTGCTTAGGGAGTGAAGTTTAGTCTTTGGTTTTTCAGGCACAGAACCAGCTTTCTCTAGCTGTCTGACTCTAGTACGACCACCCTTCACAACAGTTCTTGACCTGAAGTTCCATGCTCTGATGCTCTCTTTGGGAAAACTCTCACCTTGGCCAATAAGGAAATTGAAAGGCTGAAGAAAGAAACAGGCAGGGACAGGAAGGAAAAGGAGAACAGTTCAGTTGGGCCTCAGGAACTATAAGACAGAGCCAATCGAACAGTCAGTCAATCAACAAGTATTTACGACCCCCAGAAAGATGGGCAGAAAGGATGCTGTCTGCAGAAGCCAACTAAGCATTTTCATCAGTTTTCTTTTTGCAATTTTTTGTCTAGTTCTTAACAAATTATTTTTATGTTTCATTTTATTTTAATTTTCCACTAGTAGGCATTTGTTTTCCTCTTTTCCACCTTCCTTGCCCCCACCCCAACAATTTAAAACAAAAAAAGAAAGACAAGTCTTTCATTAAAGCATGCAGAGTAAAGGAAATTCCGACAGTGGCCATGCCAGTTCTACACCTTGACCATCATCCCTAGATCAGGAGGTGGATAACACAAATCATCACGGGCCCTTGGGAATCATGACTGATCGTTGCCTTCATCAGAATCCCTGAGTCCTTCAAAGGTTTTTATTTTTAAAGTATTGTTTTGCTTTATAAATTGTTCTCCCAATTCTGCTCACTTTATTCTACATCAGCTTATGTAAGTCTTCCCAGGTCTCTCTGGAAGTTTTCCTTTTGTAATTTCTTATGATGTAGTATTACATTACATTCATATACTACAGTTTGTCCAGCCTTTCCCCAATCAATGGTCACCCCTCTAGTTTTTTGCCATCACAAAAACAGCTGCTCTAAATATTTTTGTACGTCTGGTCCCTTTCTTCTTTATTTCATCTCTTTGGAGCATAGGCCTGGTACTTGTATAGTTAGGTCAAAGGGTATGCACAATTTAGTAACTTTCATCATTGGTATGATGTGACCAATATTGTGCAGGTAGCAAGTGGCAGAGCTGGGTTTTGGATCTAGGTCTTCTGACTTCAAACTCAATGCTAGTTCCTTCTTTTTAAACACACACACACACACACACAATGTGTGTATATATACATATATATATACATATTTCATTAAATATTTTCCAATTACATGTAAAATTTTTTAACATTTTTTTTAACATTTTTGACATTTTGAATTCCAAATTCTCTTCTTCCAATCTGATAGGTGTGAGGTGGTGCCTGAGAGTTGCCTTAATTTGCATTTCTTTGATTAGTAGTTATTAGAATATTTTTTCCCATGTGACTATCAATGTTCTAAGAGATGCACCATACGGCTTCCCCAGGGGGGAGAGTGACATAGAGATGTGGATAGGACTAGTTTCAGAAGCAAGTTCTGAGACTGCCTTCCCTCCCCCAGTGCTGTCCCTGATGAGAGAGTGAACACAGGTGACATGCTGGTGTGAACACTGAAATGGAACTGAAGGATGAGAAAGTCCAAAGTCAAAGTACCAGGACTGGGGTTCTGAGAAGGATGGGTTCCCATGTATGTTGGGGGTGGGAGTAGATATTAGGCCCTCTTCTCATTGATTATTTTTGACAGCATCCAATGTAGTTTATTAACAATTTTCTTATTTCTAGGGTGGTGGACAGTCCTTACCATGTTTTGGAAGACCTATTGCAGCCACTGTATCTCCCACTTCTCCTCTGATGTTCCAACCTTCCCCCAGTTACCCCAGCAAACCAGTCAGTGAGCCTGCAAAAGTCAACAAGAGACTCACACCTTGGGAAGCAGCTGCTAAGTCACCCCTTGGCCTTGTGGATGATGCATTCGGCCCCAGAAGTATCCAGGAATCCATCGTTGCCAATGTAGTCTCTGCTGCCCAGAGGAAGAGCTTGCCAGAGCCACTTCAGGACTGGAAACCAAGAGTGTCCTATGCACCCCAGGCTCAGAAGGCAAACCTGGTCCCATTCCACAGGAGGGAGAAGGGCATCCCCAATCTGCCACAAAGCACCAGGGCAGCCACTTATGCCAAAAGCCAGTATGATGCCCCATTGCCACATTTCAACTATCACAGGAAGCCATCTAGGACTGGGATGATGATGGAGACCAGGTCTGAGTATGGCTACTCCTTCAGGGATGGCAACTACAATCCACACCCAAGAGGTTGGAAGCGTGAGACCTGAGATTTCCCCAGGGTAGATAGAGAAAGCCTCCCTTTCTGCCCTTACCGTCTGCTAGTTCTAATAGCCAAGCCATGGAACAAATCAAGTGATCTTTTCTTGGTCCAATCTTTTATTCTTGGCAAAAGAAATAGATTTGACTCACATGGCTCTGAGATTCTTCTATGTGAGAGATCTGCTCATTTTTTTTTCGGTCTTTAGTTCCCCAAGTCACATTTGTATATTTTAGCATGGGAGAGTGTACACACATGCTCATTCAAACTTTAACTCAAAATACCAGCACTTACTCTTTCCTACTCCTCACTCAAGCAAGGGATGGGAAAAAAAGAGATTGTCTTTGTGGGAGGAAAACGCAATTGTCTGAGCTGGTTTCTGGAGTTCTTAGCCTCACATCTATGAGAGTTACTGGGTCTCCTGTCTGACCTTTGTGCCATCAAGAGTTATAGAAAGGAAGGAATACCCGGTATTTCCATACCTGGCATTGCAGATCCATGACAAGGAGCCTAATTTGGGGGAAGCTTTCAAAGGCAATGCACCAATGTGGTTTGTATGGGAAGGAATTCCCTGCCGATTTTTTTTTAAAGTATTTCCCTCAATAGCTTAATATCTAATTAAATTCATTTTTCTTTAAGAAACTGATAGTAGTTATAGACAGTCTGTGAAAGAGACTAATGAAATGGACATTTTAGGGTAAGGTCACAAGAAATGCCAGAATTATTTTGAGACCAATAGAGTTGTACATCTGAAGTGGGAAAGATTTACATAGTGTATCATTTCTAATCAATTTGTATTTGACCTTCTAAGAATGAAATAGGTACAGGGATAGGGACTGATTTCATTGATATAAGGCACTTTCCAATGAGGAAACTCCCTCTAGCAATGCAGGTTGGTACCTTCTTTACAATTTACAGTTTTAGAGAGCTGCCTGGGGCAATGAGAGGTTGTGACTTGCCCAGGGTCACATAGCTGACATCTGCCAGAGAGGGGACTAGAACCCAAGTCTTCCCATCACCAAAGCTGACTCTATCCACTATCTTATGCTGCTTCTAAAGAATGAAATAGACTCTGGCAAAATAAATGTGAGGGGTACTCATGTCTTTTACTCATGATACAGATGCCAAATTCAGTCTTGAGTTTAGTGAGGCCATAAATGTCACGACATGCCTCTTTCTCATTGCCTAAAAGAATTGTTGAAAGGCAGGTTTTTTGTTATGTGTTATAGGGTGTGAGTACTGAAGTGAAGGAGAGGAAAGAACCCTAGGAGGTTTGTCAAATATTTTAATGGACTAGGGAAATAGCCAATTATAACTGCTTGTCACTGTCGATGGTAGCCAGTCACTGAGTTGCAGAGAAAGTCGTTGGCCAATAAATCAACCAGCCAGAGCTGTTGGTCCTAGTAGTTACTTATTTAGATGACAAATAGACAGGTAGATAATAGATAGGTAGATAGATAGATAGATAGATAGATAGATAGATAGATAGATAGACAGATAGACAGATAGATGATAGATAATAGATAATAGACAGACACATAGATAGTAGATGATAAATAGAAAGACAGATAGCTACATGGATAGACAGATAGAGCATTTATTAAGTACTTACTATGTGCCAGGCACTGTGCCAAGTGCTAAGGATGCAAATAAAAGCAAATAAGGAGATACGGACTTGCAAGGAGCGGGACACCAGATCAGAGATTTTGAGACTGAAGGGATCTTAGAAGTCAGTTAGTCCAAGCCCTTATTTTTCACAGGTATAAAGTGAGGTCTAGAGAAGTGAAGGAATTTACTTGCTCAAGGCCAAACAGGTGGTAGGTGGCATGATTGATTCCAGGATCCCTGCTTCCCAATGCATTAACTGCCTTTTCTACCACACCAAAAAATGAACTCTAATTCATAAACTGTAAAGTAAGCAATGTGACTCTGGAATCAGTCACTAGATATGGGAGAGGAATAGCACCATTAAGGGAGATTCTTAAAGAAGACTGACAGAGCTCAGGGTCACTGTTTGAGATCTCTGTCAGCTTGATGATGAGAAAACAAGGTTCAAACCTGACTCCATGTCTCAGTTTGGATTCTCTTAACTGTGAATTTAAAAAGCATTCAGATAACTCTCAGGATGAGAAAATGAGGATTTTTGTTTGGTATACGTAAGTGCTTAGGGAGCTAAGCCACTGTAACCAGCTTTTCCTCTGGGAAATGTCATTTTCACTAGTCTCTTTCACTGAATGCAAGTTTTAAAGGGAAAGGGAAAAGCCAACCCTAATGCTTGATTTGCAGAAATGCAACATTGGCAACATTTGTATTGTCATCACCCAAAAAATTCAGTGATGAAACTGAAAAAAGAAGTGATGCGTGCTATTTTTAAAGGGATGTTGATTGCTGAGAAGATTATATAGCACAAATTCTCCCAAATGAAGAAACACAGAATAATAATGGGGAATTCCTGGGAAAGTCTAGGCATGACAGTGCTGGTTCCACTTGTCTGCCCTTCTCTCATTGGCAGCCCTGCTCTGGGCTCGTCAGGTCCTTCACAATATCATTTAGCTGCCCATTGACTCAGTCTAGTGTGAAGATGTTGGGAGTTTAACAGAAAAGACTTGACTACCCCACCCTGCATGTTCTATTTAGCTCCTAAATAAACACTACCACTTATGTCCTTTAACAACTGATGGCAGTTGTATTAGTCACTGGAGCCATGATTCCCCATGAGTTGTGCTAGAGAAAGACACAACCATTTATAATATCAAGTTTTGTTTTTCTCATTTTCCAGAATGAAGTCGATTTACTTACCAAAAAAAAAGCTTCATTAATATCTTTTAAAAAATTCAATTCAGCAAGCCTTTTAAAAAGTGCCTACCATGTACAAGTCTTGGTGCTAGGCATTGGGTATACAAGGATATAAATAAAATGATCACCACCCTCAACAATCTTACATTCTATGGGGGGGAAACAATATATACACAGATCAGTCAATACAAGATCCAAATAAAGAAAAGTGAAGTTATTTCCAAAGTAACAGAGCCCAGATAGCAGAAGGACTCATAGATGAGAAGTCACAAAGACCATGCTTTGAAGGATGTTAAGGATTCCAAGAGGCAGAGGTGAGGAGGGAATGCATTCCAGACAAGGGGATCACTTGTTCACTTCCCTTTAATACTTCCACACCCACCCAAGCCTTCTTTGTTATGAAGAAAACTATTTAATCAGAGTTTGATGGTATATTTCATTGCTCAGCCATAGTCCCCACCATTCTACTGAGGGAAACAAGTGTGTTTTACTTTTTAAAGTATTATTACAGAACTCTGCTCCCTTTGTCAAAATTGTTCAAGATCATTAAAAATAACTATGTAGTTATCAGTCTTCAAACTTTAAGAAAAGAGCAATACTTGAGAAGCAAAGAATTCAGTCATCACCAGACAGGATGGACACTCCCATGGGATTTCTGTTGAAAGGAAACCTTCTAGGAAGTCGTATATACTTGGCAGAGGTGACCTCAAAATGGAAGATGGCTCAAGTAAGCAGCACTGGGCCCCATTGAGGTCTAGATCCCTGAATGGTGAGCAAGAACTTCATTCTACCTAATTGTTCCAATGTTAGAGTCATCAAATCATAGATTGAGAAATGGAAGAGGTCTTGGAGAATCTATACTGAAATTGAGGCTCAGAGTGGGAACATAGCTTTTGAGCTGGAGGGGGCCTTACAGCCTGGCTACAGATCCTCCTTTCCTGGAGGAGGAAGTTGGGGCTCACCCAGAGAAGGGGAGTGACTTAACAAGGTCACACAGAGAGTAAATGGCAGCGCCGATATTTGAACTACTGTCTTCAGAGTCCAGTCCAGTACTCTTCCTACTCTAGCAAGTTGAAAAATGATCTTAGTGAAGCACAAAGAATGATCTTAGTGAAGAAGTGGAAACTGACATACTGAACCAATACACATTCCCTAGGAGCTATGGCTTTGTAAGGACATGCCCTGAAGCCGTAGGACCACCTTGCCTCCAGGTCCTTCCAGAACTAGAGAAAAATGCAGCTTCACCAGGTGGAGCAAGTATGCATTGGCACCAATGTGGAGTAGTTCCTTCACCTCCACTTCAAATAGCAAACTGAATCCCAAGTGGCTACCTGGGATGCTCCTTATTAATCACTACTTGTTGAACTTTTTCTCACCTTGTGTGTTTTATGAATGTATAAATCTATTCATAGGTTCACGAATTATGAGCTGGAAGGGGGCTTAGAGGTCATCATCTAGCCCAACCCTCTCATTTTATAGGAGAAGAAATGGAATCATGGAGAAGGGATGGGACTTGGCCAACATCCTCTGGTTGTCAGCTGCACAGCTGAGATTTGAATCCCCTTCTTCTGATGTTAGATTCAGTGCTCTTTCTATTCCACCACCTTTCTTCCTTAGAAGCACCTCTTAGTTACCTCCACAAAGACTGCCATTTTAGACTTCAGAAGAGCACGCATGCGTGCGCGCGCACACACACACACACACACGACTCAGATATACGTAGCCTGCACACACAAATACTGACTTGCACACTGATCAATTGCATGAAATGGGATCAGATGGCTGTAGATTCAGCTCCAGTTCTAGCAGAGGGAATTGTGCAAGGGCTTGTTTGCTGGGAGAGCTCACTGACCAGGTTTAGCTTCTAAACAATGCTTATCACCGGTTTGCATTGTAAGAGACTCTGCCATCTAAATGTCTGAATCTTATCTAAATCTAATTGCAATTTCCACTTATATTGATTCATCACCAATGACTGGGTTTGAAAGGTGCATGTTGAAGATGATGGATGCATTAATAAAAATTATCTTAGCAAAATCAAGTGAAAGACTTTGGTTTTTTCCCCTTATTTAAGATCATAGGTTTAGGGTTGAATAGAACTTTAGAAGGGCATCTAAGTGGTACCACAGTGCATAGAGTGCTTGGACTGATGTCAGGAAGACTCATCTTCCTGAGTTCAAATCTGGCCTCAGACACATACTAGCTGTGTGACTCTGGGCAAGTCACTTCACCAGTTTGCCTCAGTTTCCTCATCTGTAAAATGAGCAGGAGAAGGAAATGACAAACCACTCCAGTATCTTTGCCAAGAAAACCCCAAATGGGGTCACGATGACTCAGACATGACTAAAAAAATGACTGAATAACAGCAATAAAGGACTTCAGAAGCCATGTAGTCCAGTTCCTGCCCTTTACAGATAAGGAAACTAAAGCCCAGAGAGAAGTAACATGACCAAAAGCCTACAGCTAGGGAGTAGTAACCCTTGGATCCAAACTAGTCCCTCTGAATCCAGAGCCAGAGCCCAGATGCCATATTTGGCCATCTCATCTGATCCCAGAAAAAAGAAAATCCATGGGAATATTCTACCCTTCCAAAGCCCATCCTATTTGCTCTATCCCTACTTTACATCATGGCGAATTCCAGGAATATTTAAATAATTTCACTTCAAACAGCAACATTTTATATCATAATATTTACCCTGAGGTCTTTGCTGAATAATATTAAAGTGATGAATGTAAGAAGGAAGCTGGGCATCTCACACTGAGAATGTTTCTTTTTGGTTCGTTTCTTCTTGTTACTGGATAAAATGGGGGCTGGGGACTGGAGCATCTAGCCATGCTATCTTTGCCACCTTCATTCCGCTGAAACCTGGAGGGTTGCCTAAAAGCTCAGCCAAAGAGAAAAAAAAATGCCCTTTAGATGACAAGGTACAGAGTCAAACTGGGAAGCCCCGTGCCCCTCACTCTGGTACTGCTGGCCAGACACTTGTTGATCAGTCAACAAATATTTCTAGAACACTTACTATGGGCCAAGCACTGTGCTAAAGTATACAAAAAGCCCCCCCTCCCCCCCAAAAAAGTCCCTAAAGTCAAGAAAGGTGCATTCTAATGGGGGGATTT